AAAAAAACGTTCACATGAACCTCCACCATCATCAATAATATCAAAACATGATCAACAAACACCTTCACCAAAATCATTTAATACAAAAAAAGATTATCAACATCATCATTATCATAATCCAATACAATTAAAAGATCAACAAAAAATAATAAATAGTGATGCATCATCTGAAGAAGATGAATTACAACAGCAACAACAAATAAATAATATTACCGAAGATTCAGCTGTATGTATATTAAGAAAACACAAAAAAAAAAATATATATATATATCTTTAAATTCTATCACTATGACACATAGATTTAACACATCTTTTTCTATATTTTGATTATTTCTATTGAAATCTTTAATTTTATTATTCATCGGGATAAAAGGGTTATCCGATATATTTTATTATATGCATGTATCATCTATTATTGTTTGATAAAAATATTTTTCTTTCAGTTTCTTCCGAAAAAATTTACATTTCGTGTGGTAAGTTATTTGTATCGATTGTCATGAAATGATGATGTTGAATGTTCTCAGTTTTTTTTTGCCTGATATATCATGCATTTATGCTCTTGCTCATATTTGATGAAACATTTTTTTTGTTTTATTTACCCCGCTTATATGTTGCTTATTCATTGCGTTTTTATATCAATAATTGATCTTTTCTATTTATAAATATTTTGTTCGTATTTATAATAGAAAGCCGGTCCTGGAGTGCCAAAAAAACCATCATCAACACATAATCAAAAAGAATATCATCAACAACAACAACATGGACGTCGATTGATAACACCACCACCACCTCAAAAAATGGTCGTCCATCAACCAACAACAGTACATCAGGATGAGATGCCACCATCTTATCATCAAGTGTCTAATCCATCTTCTTCATCTACTGCTTATGTGTATCAAGAACCGACTGAAGTTTAATTAACTAGTGCCAGTATTTTTATCTCGAGTTTATCTCTTTTTTTTCTTTTTTTGTCTCAACTAATTATTATTATTGCACATTATCTTTTCGATTTTTTTCTTTTTTATATTATTCATATATCCAATTGTTGTGCAATTGTTTTTGCTATGAATGAATCTCTAATGTTTTAGTGCTCGCCAATGTGTATGTGTATGTTTATTCTTGTATATATAGAGAGATGGTCTAATTTTGAGCATCAGATAAAATAATCAATGCTTATACATGTTTGTTTGCGTGTGTACATTCCACTCTATCGATTCAATTCTCTCAGCAGTTGTTTTTCTTTCTTTTTTTTTTTTATCAATTATTATATTATGTAATGATTACTTTTGGAGTAAATTTCAATGAATAACAATGTTCACCTTGTTGAAAATCATTTCTATGATAGCAATGGTAATTACCAGTTCAATAGAACTGCCAGATCAAAAAAATTAAAAAATCAAAATGTTTTTGTTCAAAATCGGAAAGTAATTTTTATTGTGTTCAAATGTCTGTTTTGTTGTCCTATTTGTATAATATACTTTACCCTTGCTGTTCATTTATTCACATACTATCAAAAAAGAAAATTTCAATATTAAAAAATCGATAAAACAATATACATGTAGAGTTAAATCAGAATGAACAAAGCCTAAAAGTAATTCAATTTTGAATCTATTTTCTTATAAAACTTACAGCTAATTTTATGATTCGGCACATCTTTCGATTTTTTTTATGACTGTGGCGGATGAGTCACTTTGGAAGGGAGATTTTTCAACAATTCTAGATAGTGCATTTTACTATTTTTATCTAGATTTTTAATGTAGTTTTACTATCTATTCATCATTGTACAAAAAAGC